ACGGCGCCTGCGCCCTCCCCGCGCTGGCAACCGCCGGGGCGGGAGCGCCCCCGCTCGGCGTTCCTGTTTCCTTGGAGACGGAACCGGGCCTAGCAGGCAGCGCAGCGGGGCCAGCCGCGCACTAGAGAAGCCAAGATGCCCTTGAAAGCAAAGAAAAAGAAAGGCAAGGCCAAGGGCAAGGGCAAAGGCAAAGACAAAGACAAAGGCAAAGGCAAAGACAAGATTAAGTAAGCAGAAAGCCTCCATGGGCTATACCCCGCGGACCTTGGCCGGAGGCAAGCGTGGGCGCCTCAGGACCCAGGGACGGGGAGCTGGCCAACATCCTCCCGCAGGCCCTCGCCGCCCACCAGTTGCTCTTCTGTCTGAGGACAGCTCCCATTGAAATCCTCAATATATGTGCCAGATCCTGTTGCTGTTACCATCTGAAACACTAGTGAGACATTTGGAGTTCGGAGTAATTTCGACCCAGTCCCTGCTGTGTGTAAGGTACCAGTGGCGGAGGCAAAGAAGTTCCCAAACAGTAGATGTAAGGACAGATTAAAATAAGAGGTGCTAGAGAAGAAATAAAGAACTGAGAATAAGGAGGGAGGGGTTAATTCCAACGCTGAAAGTGAATATCAAGATAACAGTTCTCGGAATACCGGAGGTCATCTAGACTTGTGCTGTCCAATAGAGTAGCCTGAGCCATCTGTGGCTATTACTTAAAATTTTATTTCCTCATTCTAGTGGCCATGTTTCAAGTGATTGATAGGCTCATAGGACTAGTGGCAACTTTATGCAAAATGTTTGCATCATCACAAAAAGTAATAAAGGGCAGCACTAGATTTTAAGTTCTAGGGACTTAAATGCAAATGTGGTTCTAGGGACACTTGTCAATGACTATAGAAAATTAGTTGGCATGTGTGGGCAAGGGTTGCTACTGGCATTTAGTGGACAGAGGCCATGGATACCGTTAAGGCGTTTAACAGCCTATGATGTCCAGAAATACCACACTCCCCCAAGAATTAATATGGTTCAGAATCTTCTTCGTGCCAGGGTTGCAACACCCTCTTCTAGACTATTAACTTTACTAGAATAGGCACCAAGCATTACTCACCATGTCTAAGCATCTACTCACTCACTACTCACTGCCATCCACCTGTGGGTTCTCATTCATAATCTAGAGCAGGTGCTTCTTACTTGAAAAGTAAACGAAGTGTCCTGTGTGTATACTTCAATTTGGATCTCTTCTTTCCTCCACTGGGCTGTGGTCTCCAATCAGTCTTGCTTACTCTATCCTGCAGGATCTCTGCTATGAGTTTGAGACAATCTGGAACACAGCTCAGAGACCTTTTTGGCAGTTGAAATAGTTCCTTGAGCTTTCTCAGAGAACTGTTTTGGTTTAGTGGAAACTTCAAGGACTCATTAATAAGTAATTGTTCAGGTTTCCATAAACTGATCAAAACTTGGAGTGAGTAATGCTCTAGCACCTTGCTGGCTGGGAAGTGAGTCAACTAGGTCGTCACTTTGGATGGCAACCTGGGAGTTCCTAGACAGATGGGTCATGCATGCTGTGTTCAGCAACACAGCAGATGGGATGACACCTTATAAGTTTGTAAAGTGATTTGTTTAAAAGACTAATACCTGCTCTACCCCCATGGTGGAATTTTCAGCCAAATAATAGGCAGGTGCATAAGGAGAACAAGAACCCTAGGGTACCCACACCTTAGAATAATGAATTATGTGAGATCCAAAGGGCAGCATTTGCCTATGGACAAATTTCAGAAGGGTGAGCTAAGAAGGAGGAATGGCAACTGGAGACACGGAGGAAGTGGAATAAGTGATGTTACATTGGTGAGGACTCCAATCAATAACATGAAACAAAAATGCAAGAATTGTTGAAAATGTGGGGAAAGATATACTTTGTAAACCTTCACCCAATTAAAATAATAAAATAATAATAATATATGCTCAATATGGAAAAACATGGAAAATCCCAAAAGAGAAATGAAAAATCCTCTGTAATCCCACCATCCAGATATAACTTCTATTATCATTGGAGAGTATTTTATTTATATATAAAATGATAGCATACAATCCATGCTTACAGTTTTTTTCTCCAGTGTATTTATAGAATAAGTATTCTACAGAATGAAAATGTGTAAACAGAACTGCATAGTTCAGCATTTTTTTAAGTGTCAAGGCCTTATGCCATTCATGAGACTCACCAGCATGTGTGTTATTCCTGACCATCTGTCTACTGCAGGCTGAGAAACACTGAAAGAACAGACCTCTTATTCCTCAGGTTTTCCATGACCTACAGTTTGAAAACCACTGCTTTTTAAAAAACAGTATTGTGATCCTACTCTGCTCAGCTTAGACTGATACTTTCTAGAACTAGTTAAGTGACGATGGCGAAGCAGTCGGTGTACCTAAGTTCTGCTGGAAAGGGAGGTCAACAGCTATAACACGCTGGATGGATAGGGATGAGGATGGGGCTGGCCTCAATTTGAAGGAAACAAAAGGTGAGAATGTGACTAGAATTGAAGAGAACCAGTTGAGTGGCTGAAGGGTGACAGTTTAGGTACACAAAACATATCTGAGAATCTTTAGACTTCAAATGTAGAAGTCTTTCAAATATTTGCTATCTATATATCTATAGGGCTGCTATGAGTTGGAAAGGACTCAATGGCAGTGAATTTAGGAGCCCTGGTTGCATAGTGGGTAATTAGTGGGGCTAATAACCACAAGATCAACAGTTCAAAGCCTCCAGCTGCTCTGAGGAGAAAGATGAAGCTTTCTGTTCCCAGAAAGTCTTAGAAATTCACTGGACAGTTCTCTATTCTATAGGGCCTATATGAATTGGGATTGACTCAAAGGCATTGAGTTTGGCTTTAGATATAGCTAGTGTTTACCACAGGAGCCATGGTGATGTGGTGGTTACATGTTGGGCTGTGATCCATATGCTTGGCAGTTAGAAACCACCAATAGCTCCGAAGGAAGAAAGACTGGCCTTTCTACCCCTGGAAAGAGTCCCAATCTTGAATTGACTTTATGACAGTGAATGAGAGTACTTACTATATATAAAGAATGGTACTGGTGGATAGAGTGTAACACGGAGACGGCATGGTGGAGACTGGTGGATACCAGGCCAGCTGATCACCATGCCACCAAGCCACAGAACCTGAATGACCCCTGCAGGCAGATGGCTGAGGGCCACCCAGCGACTTCCTTGAGATCCATGTGAACAACTCATAGACAGTGGGGGCCAGCAGGGGTCGCTTCACTACCTATGAAAGCAGGGTCAAGACATCTTATTTTCAAGCTAAAGGAATCTAGTCCTAGAAGATGATACAGTGATTTCGAATGGCTGCAAAGTGAATTAGAAAGAGAAAGCAAGTAGTTCCTTCACTCCCTGGAAAAACATTTTTATTCCAGCTTCCTTTGAGAGGAGATGATGGGATCTTTGGGGAGAGTTTTGTTGAGGAAAGGAGGCAAGGGCTGGGGCAGTTTATAAACAAGGTTGCTGGTCACCCTCCGGCACAGAATGAACATCATCTTCACATGTTTTGACAGGACAAAATCATAGATAAAAGCTATACTCCATCCAAAATAAGACATGCCAGAAATTTGACAAGAAGGAGGCAAAAAGCAAAACCAATGTTCGGTGACTATTGATGATTCGGATGCGCCAAGGAGGAAGTGCTCACTAACTCTCAGCCTGCCTCCCAGAAACTGGTCTCACGCCCTCCGTGTGCCAACACGCATGATGATGGTCACTCTTGTTGGGGGAGTTGACAAGAAGATAACTTGCTTCAGTGAACATCTTTCATTCTCGCCTTTCTATCAATAGCTCTCCTTTACTGTGGTGTGCACATCTTGAGGTTAGTCCTGTGTCATCTGCAGTGTCCTCACTACAGTGACTGCCTTGGTCTGCTCTGCACAGATTCTTTTTTTTTTTTTTTTTAAAGTTTTGGGTTTTTTTCCCAATTTTTTAAAAAAAGTACTTTTTATTGGGGGCTCTTACAGCTCTTATCACAGTCCATACAGTCCTCCCGTGTGTCAAGCACATTTGCATATATGCCGCCATCATCACTTTCAAAGCATTCTCTTCCCACTTGAGCCCATGATATCAGCTCCTCATTTTGTCCCCCTCTCTCCCCCTCTGCATAGATTTTATGCCATGTTTGCTTCTTGAATCTGACTACCTAGAATGTTCCCTGTCCCCTTCTTTGTACTCCGTGATGTCACTTGTCCTGATTCCTGTGTAGGAACACGACACCACTGGTGCCCACTACCGCCCACAGAAGAGACACCCTTGTGTTCAAAACACATCTTCCCTCAGGCTCACGAGACCCTCCACGTGGGAGATTTATGAGGAACATCTTTATATTCTGTATAAAGATCAACAACAAATTTATTTACCAAAATCATTTGTCTAAGATTTTAAGTTGTTTTCAAATAAAAATAAAACTGTGTTTCTGATGTTTTTAGAGGAGTGGCAGTTTATTAATGTTCATTCAACATCTCCTTATTTTTGAAATACCTCCCTTTTAATGCTTTAATGTTTATATCTATCCTTTAATACCTCCCACTCCCCCACCCCCACCATGATGATGGTATGCTTCTCAATCATCCTTAAAGCCTGGTGCATTGTGGCACCAGGCAACTTACATTCTTTGGTGACTTGCTTTTCTGTCCAAGGCCTAGCCAACCTTGTCCCACCTAAAACAAATAAAAACAAAACTGGAGGGTGGGGCAGGTGGGAGCTTACAGAAATAGGGACTTCTATTTACACTAAGTATCTATCCTCCTGTAGAAAGAGAACAAAAGATAATGGAGACAGTGGCGAGACCCATGGTCCAGGGCTGAGGGGATAGTGGGAAAGTTCAATAAAGGAGAAATCAAAGAAGAAAATGAAAAGATGTGAAAGCCTTATGACATGGATTTGTAGTCCTTTAGAGTTATGCTCCACAATGGCCCCTCTTCTAGAAAGAGGAACCTACTTAACTCCTTTATGTGAAAACAAAAAGGTGTTTCTTTTTTTTTAAGGCTATATAATATATTTTTGTTGTTGAGAATACGTACAGCAGAACATAAAGTTCATAGACATGCATTTCTTCTTCATTCAACAATCCTTACAGGCAATACCAAGTTAAAACACAGAGATGTAATACAACTATGATAGAGAAATAGTTATGTACTATGAATGTCCTTTTCCCTGTAGGAAAGCAGTTAATCCAGAGGAATCTGTGGTGGACAGAGCCAAGGCCAATGCCTCACTGTGGGAGGCCAGGTTGGAGGTCACCGAACTCTCCAGGATGGAGTATCGTGACACTTCCCTGAAACTGGCAAAAAGTAATGAGGACTTAAAGAAGCAGCAGTACAGGATGGAGAGAGACACCATGTCTGTGTTAAGCTACTTGAAGAAACAGGATCAGGAGAAAGATAACCTGGTAGGTAGGCGGAAAGCCTCCTGAGCTTTAGTATCTCTGTGGTTATACTGGTGTGGTTCAATACGTCAAAGAGTTTAATTCTTTGAAATAAAGCATAGAGTTAAGATACTTGAATTGATGCTAACTCCCTGAACCGAGTGCGATTTCAGAATGGCTTTGCTAATCCTGAAGGAGCTGTGGTGGTGTTTGTAACAGCCTTAGAAACCCTGTCATACACAGTCACTGTGAGTGGGCATCGACTGATAGCAGTGAGAGTTGAGTTACTGATATTAGAGCCCCGATTGTGCTTTTGGACAAACATTGTACTGCTAACTTCAAGGTCTGGCCTCCAACCCCAGCAGGTGCTCCTTGGGAGAAAGATGAAGCTGCCTGCTCCTGTGAAGATTGACAGAGCCTCGGAAGAATTTGGAATGACTCAGTGGCAGTGGGTTTTTTGTTTGTTTTAGCTGATGGTGGCTCTTTATTATTTCCCAGTTTTTACCTAGATTGCTGAAACAAATAGATGGTTAATCACAAGGAACATTATGTCCTTTATGTTAAGGACAAAATCAATGGTATATGGCCTATATATTATTTTATATTGGTAAGTACTCCATTTTAGTGATATAGAAAACAATTCACTGTTAATCCATGATCACACCAAGAATTTAGCAAATTGTGTCTCTTTTTAATGGCTTGTTGAATTTTGATTTTATCTTACTGTATCTCATTCAAGTGTTAAAAATTAAGTTGGGGAGGGGAGGGAGGGAATAAAGAGGAGCTGATATCAAGGGGCTCAAGTAGAAAGAAAACGTTTTGAAAATGATGGTGGCAGCATCTACAAGTCCGCCTAATGTAATTGATGTATGGATTTCTATAATATCTGTAAGAGCCTCCAATAAAATGGTCAGTTAAAAACAAGAATATAGCTACCATTTTTGATCTGGATGGAGAGAGGAAGAAGAACTAATACCACTTTGGAGTTTCTGTTGTGTGCCAGATATGATGCAAGCTGTTGTCTCATCTCATCCTTTTTTAACATGTAGCCACTGTGTCGTATCCTCAGGGTTTTCTTTTTTTATTGTGATGAAACTATACAAAACAAAACATGCACCGACCGACTCCACACTTTCGAGAAGTATAATTCAGTGGCACTGACTTACATTCTCGAGGAGCCCTGCTGGTGTAGGGGTTTATACATTGTTAACAGTTTGAAACCACCAACCGCTCCACAGGTGAGAGATGTGCTTTCTGCTCCCATAACGATTTACAGCCTCAGAAAACCAGGGCCGTTCTACTGTGCCCTGCAGGATGCCTGCAAGTCAGAATTACTTGATGGCCGTGAGTAGTGGTTTTTATTTTTTTCTTTGTATGCGCGTGTTTTAATACTTTTATTGGGGGCTCTTACATCTCTTATCACAATCCATACATTCCTCCAGTGTCAAGCACGTTTGCACATATGCCGCCATCATCATTTTCAAAGCATTCTCTTCCCACTTGAGCCCCTGATGGGTGTGTGTTTTTGATTAAGTTCTTTAAGTTGTACGACCAAATCATCTTATCATATTAATATAGACTCATTGTCCCCTAAGCAAAAAGTCTTCTTCTTTAGCACCACCTCCCATCCACTAATAGTCTGATTTCTTTTGCTTATTTCATATAAGTAAGATCATGCAGTAATTTGCCCTTGTATAATTTATTATTTTTCTCAGCATGATATTTTCAAGGTTGTTGTCCTCATTTTACAGATGAAGAATTGACTCTCGCAAAGAATAGGTCATTTGTCACACAGTTAATAGGTGGTGCAGTGAAATTTAGATATAACTCTTAGATTCTTCTCTTTCCAATTTGCCTCTAGAAGGGCTCTGGAGACCTAGAGAAATATCTGCCGTTCTGTGGATGGTGTGTGTCCTTCCCATGTATATATTTGTAAACATTGTATTAGAGCTTAAATTCTGATCCCATGTTGGGCTGCCTGAACTCACCAGCTGTTCAAATCTACCTGCCACTCCTTGGGAGAAAGATGAGGCTCTCTGCTCCTGTAAAGATTTATAGCCCCCTTGCAGATGGGTCTCGGGGAGGAGATGAGCCAGTCACGGTATGATGTAACAATGATGAGAAATACAACTTTCCTCTAGTTCCTAAATGTTTCCTCCCGCTCCCACTACCATGACTCGAATTGGACCTTGCAAGTCTGGCTAGACCAGAGGAGGTACACTGGTACAGATAGGAACTGAAAATCCAGGGAATCCAGGGCGGATGAGCCCTACAGGACCAGTGGTGTGAGTGGCGAAACAGGGAGGGTAAAAGGAGAATGGGTAGGAAAGAGGGAACCGATTACAAGGAACTATATGTGACCTCCTCCCTGGGGGACAGACAACCGAAAAGTGGGTGAAGGAAGATGTCGGACAGGGCAAGATATGACTAAATACCAATTTACAAACTATCAAGGGCTCATGAGGGAAGGGGGAGCGGGGAGGGAGGGGAAAAATGAGGACCTAATGCTGGGGGCTTAAGTGGAAAGAAAATGTTTTGAGAATGATGAGGGCAATGAATGTACAAATGCGCTTTACACAATTGATGTATGTATGGATTGTGATAAGAGTTGTATGAACCTCTAATAAAATGATTTAAAAAAGAAAAAAACGATTTAAAAATGGGGAAAAAAAGTAGAAGAGCAGAGAAAAAAGAGAATATTCTCAATTAGATGGATTCACAGTTGCAACACACTACAACAGCGAGCCCAAGCATCACCACAGTTGTGAGGTTATACAAGACGGGGCATGGTTTTTGTTCTGTTGTCCTCAGTTACACTGAGTCAGAAACTACTTTGGGGCACCAAATAAGCAACAACATTGTTCCAGTAATGTGAAAGGCCTTGCTCTTCGGCAGTGTTTGAAAGTTGATTGGTACCCCTAGCCAGCCCTGGGAGGGGCAGCCTAGCCCTTATAGACTTCCCTCAGTATATCCTTGATGGAATTTGGAGTAGTAAGGTTGCATAGTCATGAGTCTATAGGACAGAGTATGAGTTTACAGGACAGTCTATAGGTATGAGTAGAACTGCCCTTTTGGGTGTCCGAGCCTGTACATCTTTATTGGAACAGAAAGCCCAATTTTTCTCTAGAAGAGTGACTGGTGAAGTCAAACAGCTGACCTTGAGGTTGGCAGCCCAAAAGTCACCCACGAGGCCACCAGGACTCCCATCTGAAGTGATGCATGCATATATCCTACTAAGAGTCCTTTTCCAGCTTCCGTGGTCCTGCTTGTAGCTGTGATGAATCGATGTGCCACCAACCAAGATTTTGTGACTGGTGCCTTGGTTCTCCGTATCCTAATTTCTGTGATTCTTTGGACACCTTTATGACCTAGTGCTTGTGGTCTCCCTCATTCAGATGATTTGTCTTTGTCTTGGTTTTTTTTTGAAGTCTAATAATTCTTTTTTTTTTTTTTAGCATTTGTTGTAGTCTTTTTTTTCCTTTTTTTTCCCCTCTTTTTTAACATTTTATTAGGGGCTCATACAACTGTTATCCCAATCCATACACACATCAATTGTGTAGCGTGCATTTGTACATCGTTTCTCAAAACATTTTCTCTCCATTTAAACCCCCGACATTAGGTCCTCATTTTTCCCCTCCCTC